TCCAACAGCCATGTTCAATGAATAAACCTTGATTAGATCCTGGATGCAAACCAAAAAAAACCTTTATAAAACAATTGTTTTTAGGACAATTGGGGGAATTTAATATGGACTGCATGTCAGACAATATATGGAATTAATGTTAATACGTAGACCATCTTTCTTAAGCGATCCACACGAAGTACTCAGGCATGAAGAAGCGTCATGTCTGCAGCGTCCTTTAAATGATTCAGGACAACAGTGAAGAGAATGAAGACAGAGGCAAATGCGGTGAAAGGTTAACAGGTGAACCTAGGCGATGGGTATACAACTTTTCTGTAGGTTTGAGTTTTTTCAAAATAAAGTTGGAAAACTTATTCAAACTTCAAAACTTCAAAAAATAAAGGCTTAACACCCATTAGGATAGTTATTATTTTAAAAAAATCCAAAAAATAGCAAGTGTTGGCAAGGGTGTGGAGAAACTAGAACCCTTGTGCTCTGCTGGTGGGAATTGCAGCTGCTATGGAAAACAGTTTAGAGGTTCCTCAAAAAATTAAAAATAGAATTACCATGTGATCTAGCAATTCCACTTCTGGGCATATACACACAAAAAAGGAAAGCAGCGACTCAAGCCAGTTATTTGTACATCGATATTCACAGCAGCATTACTCACACTAGTTAAAAGGTGGAAACAACCCAGCGTCCACTGACAGATGGACAAACAAAATGTGGTGTATCCATGGAATGGAATATTATTCAGCCTTCAAAAGAATAAAATTCTGACATATGCTACAACCTGGATGAAGCTTGAAGACATTATGCTAAGAGAGATAAGCCAGACACAAAATGACAAATATTTATATGAGGTACCAAGAGTAGCCAAATTTAGAGAAACAGAGTAGAATGGTGGTTGCCAGGAGTTGGGGGAAGGGGGAGTTGAGTGTTTAATGGGTACAGAGGTTCAGTTTGGGAAGATGAAAAAAGTCTTGGAGACGGTGGTAATGGTTGCATAACAATGTGCATGTACTTAATGCCACTGAACTGTGTTCAGAAATGGTTAAAATGGTAAATTTTGATATATATATATTTGTCACAATTTAAAAAAAATTTTTTTTGAAAAAAATGACAATTGCTCAAACCACATAGCTATTATTCCCAGATCTGGGTCTCAAACACAGGTCTGTTTGATGAGCAAAGCCCTGCTGTTGACTCCTGTGCTACCTTGCCTCATAATAAATCAACACTCTTCCTTTTAGAACATGGCCATCAGGTCCCAAGTCTTTTCCAGGCTGAGCACTTTCAAATTCTTTGGCTAATCTACATACGACATGATTTCCAGTCCAATTCTAGTTGCCTTCCTGTAAATACATTCTCATGCCTGGATCTGTTAGAGTTGCAGTTCTGAAACTTTTTGGCCTCAGCACACCTTTGCCCTCTCAAAAATTATCGAGGACCTCAATGAGCTTTTGTTTATGTGGGTTATAGCCCCCTGAGTTGCAGTTACGATGCTGGCCGAGGCTGCGTCATCTGAAGGTTTGACCGAAGAGACATGGGATCTGCTCTGGCCTCATTCGGGTGGCTGTTGGCAGAAGGCCTCAGTTCCCCATGTGGGTCTCTCTACAGGCTTCTTGAGTGTCCTCAAGACATGGCAGTTAGCTTCCCCCAGACCAAGGAAGCCAAGAGAGAGCAAGGCAAAGTCACAATGTCTTTTATGAACTAACCTCAGAAGTCACACGCTATCCCTTTTGCCATATTCTACTTGTTAGATTTACTGAGCACAGTCCACATTCAGTGGGAGGGAAATTAACTTCCATCTCATCAAAGGATGGGGATCAAAGAATTTGTGGACATATTTTAAAAACAGAACACTCATGGATGATTTTGTAACATCATGCATTGGTCATTTGGAAAATATTTGTTCAGTGAATTACATGGATCTTTTAAATGTTGATAATTTCATTGTTTTAAAAAAAATCATATATTACTCCTGACCTCACTAGCTATCACTACACACCTATTAGAATAGCTAAAATTTTAAAAAATAGTGATAATACAAAATGCAAGTGAGGATGTGGAGAAACATTTACTGCAGGCGAAACATTTACTGCAGTATAAAATGGTACAGCCACTCCAGAAAATAGTTTGAGTTTCTTACAAAACTAAACATGCATTTATCATACAACCCAGCAATTGTATTCTTATGTTCATGCAAAAACCTGTATACAAATGTTCATAGCAGCATTATTCAAAACAGCTCCAAACTAGAAACAACCCAAATGTCTTTCAATGGGTGAATGGTTGAACTAGCTCTGGTATATTTTACTCTAAGATTCCTGCCATTTCACAAATCCGATACCTGGATCCTTTAGCTCATCCATCAAGCCATTGCTAAAAACACTGACTAAACTAGGGTTGATATGAAAGTGCCGAGTCTCCTGAATCTAGTTTGACAATGATTGGCTAGTGGGTTACCCAGCAGCTTATCTTAGCCAAGTTACCATCATGTTGTCTGTATTCTTCTGGCTTTGAGGGGGGAGAGGGTAATAGCATAAGTTCCAAATACTACCTGTTGTATTTCCCTATTTTAATAACGGGACTTAACGGATTTTTAGAAATTCATGCAAGCTCAAGTGATAACATAATTTTAATAATTCTATATGTACAACATACTGTCTTGTCAAATTTGTTCTTCCCCCTTTTAAAAGGGGATTGGAGTGGCCCCTGCAGATTTCTAATAGCTTCCCATTCTCCATGATTCCTCATCAATCACAGGCTATGTTCCCACAATCTCATCTGAAATTTTCCCAAATTTCTTGGATATTTTTCATCCAAGAAAAATTCTTAAATTAATTGAAGCCATAGGATGCCCTCCCCAAAACCCACCCACCAAAAAAGCTTTCCATCTACCTTGGGCTTTGTATGAGTCTGCTTGGGCTACCGTAACAAAATACCACAGACTGCGTGGCTTAAAAAACAGAAATTCGTTTTCTCACAGTGCTGGAGGATAGAAGTCCAAATCAGAGTGTGGCAGGGTTGGTGCCTGGTGGGGGGCCTCTCTCCTGGGCTGCAGATGGCCCCTTCTCACCGTGTCCTCATTGGCCTTTCCTCTGCGCTGGTGGGGAGATCTCTGCCGTCTCTTCCCCTTCTCATAAGCACACCAGTCCCACTGGATTAGAGCCCCACCCTTATGACCTCGTTTAACCTTCATTACCCCCTTAAAGGCCCTATTTCTATATACAGGTGTCACAGTAGAGGTTAAGGCTTCAACAGACAAATTTTGGGGGGGGGGGGGGCATTTGGAGGAACAGGCTTCAATTCCTCTGTCCAATGTTTGTTTTACCACTTTCCAAATCCTGCAACTTTAAAAAGATGAAATAGGAGATGAGAGGTTGTTTTTGTTACTTAATAACAATATACTAACACTTGAAGCAATGGACTGGTCCGTCTCGTCCCGCTTCAAATTTAACTTTTCAAACCCTCTTCTGACGTTTCCCACATTTTTCATAAACTTTGGCTCATTTGGTACTTTACCCAGATACTGTTCTCATGGGTTTGACGTCACGGATTCTGTTTGGTAATGTGTTCTCTCTGTCGCAGAAGGCATTCGAAAGATTTTTTAAAAGTTTAGAGCTGTAAGTACTAGTTCCCTCGTTATTCCGTGATGAACATCCCCCTGGCCCCTCCATCTGCTTATCTTTCTCTTATCTTCGATCTTAACTTCAAAAAAACAGCTATGTTTGGGAGAAAGCTGGAAAGTCTAGGATAACAAAAGTAATGCTGTTCCCGAATGTAACCTTTTCACATTTTTGAATTGGGAAACAAATGGGAAATCAAAGAAGAAAAACAAGAGGCTTTCAAACAAATAAACTGACATCTCAAAGAATAAAATAAACTTTGACAACTTCAATCATTCTTTGTTACGTAATCTATATAAAACTCAAATAGAAAAATATCTATCTTCAAAAATATAATTATTGAGGTTTGGAAATATAATCAGATGAGCTTTTGCCACCCAATTTCTAAAGTGCTGGAAAACTGCTCAGAATCTCAAAAGATGCGGGCTACGCTCTCTTCTCACGCCCCAAGCGAAAACGAACAAGTACTGCCTCCAACACCCCTCAGGGCCTCCGCTGCGCCTTCCTGGAGGGGCCCCACGATCAGCATTCCCCGTCGGCTGCCTTGCTTCTTCTCTCCTTCTGTTCGAAGTCTTGTTTTTTTTTTTTTTAAAGATTTTATTTTTTCCTTTTTCTCCCCAAAGCCCCCCGGTACATAGTTGTGTATTCTTCGTTGTGGGTTCCTCTAGTTGTGGCATGTGGGACGCTGCCTCAGCGTGGTCTGACGAGCAGTGCCATGTCCGCGCCCAGGATTCGAACCGACGAAACACTGGGCTGCCTGCAGTGGAGCGCGCGAACTTAACCACTCGGCCACGGGGCCAGCCCCTTGTTTTTTTTTTTTTTAAAGAGAATAACGTAACAGACGCTAAGGAAAATACATTGGCAGGGATGTATGCCACACTATAAATGGTTGTTTTTGAAATTCAAAGGACTTTTACTTTAGCATTTCTGAAATTCTGTAATATTTAAATTCAAATTAGCATGCAGGTCTTAGTTTTGTAAGCAGAAAAACTGATTTTTTTACAAAAAGAAAACTGGCAATGAATTATCTTGTTGAAATAAAAATTCCCTCCACATTCTTATTTTGATAACTTACAGATATTGATATATCCAATTCTATTAAAGTGAGGCAAAATATCCTTATTTCTATATTTTGTGTTTTTTTCCATTTGAATTTGATTCTTTAGCAAACCAACATTTTCCACTTTGTGAAAAATTTACTCTCTGATCTATACAAAGGGAAAAACCTATTTGTAATGCGAAGTAGGTCATTTAAAAGTGAAATCTAAATATGGGAAGTTAAGGGAGGAAAAACAGCTTAAAATAGCACTGTTTAACTTTATACACAAGGGGTAACTTCGTGCCAAGACACAACTAGAAGGAACAGGAAGAAACCACACGAAGAACCAATTCTAAAATGATCTCTTCATGTTTAATTTCTTAAAAAGCATGTTCACAGCACACTCCAAGAATGCCACACAGCAATGGTTTGCTGCTCTTTGTTAAACAGAGTATGTCAGAAAACAAAACAAAACAAGTTTTCAATGGTTAATGGTTTTTAACATCAGTTCTTTGAAACTTCCAGAAAGCCTATAATCGCCAGTCATCTAATTCTTTGTTTCAGGGTAGTAAACATCTCAGAAATGTAACGATATCTACCCCAAACCACACTTCTCTGAAATGCAGGTAAAAGCTTTACAAGAGAAACAAAAATGAATATTTTCCTAGAAGGAACATATTTGGCATTTTTAAATAATGTTAAAGGAAAAGTTTTCAAGTGTAAATGATGTTTCGATTTTTACTTTCTATTACCACACAGAAAGTTCGAGTCTTTATTGGTTCCAATCTGACTTCAGGAATAGGAGGAATGATTACGTTTTAGTTAAGGAACTTCGATCCTACCAGAGCCCGCGGACTTTTCCAGTACAGCGCTTGCTTTGTTGATGAAGTGGCTTCCAGCCAGTACTAATGATTATTAAAAGTGAGGCCAGATAGTTCCAATTAGTTGGTTAATTTGGTACCCGAGTTGTTTTATACACTTTTTATCTCCTGATTATTTAATATTTCTAATTAACTTACTATATTTCTCTCAAAAGCAATCAATAAATATACAGTTTGAGTGAAATATAAACTGAACTTTGTTTCATTGACTTCATTACAATGTGTCAAACGTCGTTAAATATTATATTCTGTCCTTCCAGACAATTTATATTTTCATTATAAATGCAGAGTAGCTGCACCATGAGTTGTATCCTAACCATTTTATCTAAATGTAGAAAAGCTGAAAGTTAAATTTTTAAAAATTTGGATAGTTAAGAAGTTCTTATATACTTATCTCTTTCAGAAACCTGATGCCTTTTCTTGGATAAGAGTATGGAAATGTAGAATTCAGTTCATATTCATGATATACCAATAAAAAGTATTTTGCTTATGTCTATTTCTGTCAGCCATTCTGAAATGACATTTCCATTTACAACACCTACTAAAGAGAAGAAAATTTCCTTTAGAGTCATGGTCACAATCTGGAAAAAGATGTGAGAAGGCCAAATTTTAGGTCAATAAAATATTCAAGGAAAGATGCAACGGAAAACAGGGAGTGAAGAAAGCAAGTATGTTGTAATAAAGCCTCCCCCATAAACAGATCAGTCCTTTCCTCTCACATTTGGAAATGTGACCTAAATTTTAAAAATTCTCATCAAAACATTTTATACCATGAATCCTGTAAATTCATGTCTATTTCAGCTAGACAACTTGTAGCTGTTGAAGAATTAGATTATCCTATTCATAAGATGAGAGGTAGTGACATTTATTCTCTCAATGCCGAGCTAAAAATTCCACACGTCTGGCAAATGGATCACAAGGGGAAAAAAGCACAGAAGCACCATTGTACACTCCTCTTGTTTTGGTATTTCGAGTCACCCATCACTTCATTTGCCATTGGCAGCTGACAATCACCACTGTGTTGCCACTGAAGCAGTGGGCGCCGCTGCTATTCATCGCATAGGATTGGTGCCCCTCCATCATCTTTTAAAAACGCAGCAGCTTTCCTTCCATTCTTCTGAACATGATCTTCATTCATTTTCTCCAAAGCTTCTATCTACAAAATTAATACATTGAGTCCAGTTGTCAAAATCCTCCTTCACAGACACCATACTTTAGATTGAACCAGTATTTTCACTCTCTTAAAACTAGGTCATTCCTAATGACACTGGTCTTGATTAGAATCACAATGTGTGACACATATTACAGTGTGTCACATACATGTATATGAGTGACACGTACATGTACAATTTTTACTTGATAATATTACCAGGGGCAATATTTAGTGTCTTTATTAAGCTAGCAACTGGAATCAGGTATGTCCTACTACGTACTCTCTAAAGCTTTCGGGGCACCAGAAAAAGGAAATTCCAGTGTTGATTCAACAACTCTAACACCTACTCACTGAGCAACTGTCCTGAGCTAGAGGCTGGATTTACCATCTTCCTGTTACTTTTCCTCTGGCCTCTGGTTCCAGCACAGCATGGCCAAATTCAAGTCATAGTGGGGAGCTCTGGAACAGACTCTACGACCATTCTCTGCTTTGGTTTGTTGTTAGGAATAAGTAGCTGCTGTGTTACTTTTATGCTTTTGTTCAATTTTAAGACACCTTCTCTGGAGGGAGATGTTTGTGTGGTTCTATAGATCCGGATTGTAATGATTGGTTATTTCCAAGGATGGCCACTGCTAACTTTCTACATTCAGTTAAAGGCAGGGCCCATGTGTCACCTAAACCTCATATTAATTTTGTTTGGGGGGAAGAGAGGGTAAAGTGAGCTCTGGGTTTCCCTTATCTACTCTGTCCAGTACTCCATTACCAGCAGGGTGAAAAGTAACTAGGCCTACCTCAGCTAAGAAGTCAGCTTCATTATCTGCCGAGATGCTTAAGCCAGAAACAGCATTGAAGAGTTCTCGTTCTCCGAGGGCTTCCTTTACTCCCCCTTTCTGGAAAAACTGGCAAAGAATACAAGTAAGTCAGTAAGAGATATTAGCAAGGTCCTCTCTGAAACTAAAACCAAAGAATAGTTGGGCCGGCCTGGTGGCATAGTGGTTAAATTTGGCGTGCTCCACTTCAGCAGCCCAGGGTTCACAGGTTTGGATCCCAGGCATGGACCTACATCAAGCCATGCTATGGCAGCATCCCACATACAAAATAGAGGAAGACTGGCACAGACATTAGCTCAGGGCCAATCTTCCTCACCAAGAAAAACAAAAAAAACCACAAGGGAATAGTATACTTGTAAGACACCACGGAATTCCTCCAGCTTTTAAACCCAGATTTTCTTACTTCAAGTTTAACTACACTCAGGTTCTACTTGCTTTTTGTCCTCTCTTACACATCTGTGCTGTCTTACAGATTAAGTCCATCACACTGCACCTTCAATAGCTATAAAAATGAGTGGTTGATAAAATTGCTTGGCATTGCTTTGAATGCTTCGACTCAAAACATTCACTAAATCCCATGAATTACAATTTTCAAGCAGGCTCAGAAGTTATGTCCAGTATGAAATTATTCTATCATTTAGAAAGATCTTTGCTATCTGAATCTGTTGCTAACAATTCATTTCCTTCAGAAATGGCAAACAACTGTGATCCAACTCTGTGATTACTTAGTTTTACCTTCCCTAATCTGTTTACTCTGCCTTACAAACAGTGATCAGACACAGTACCACTAAGAAGACTACTCTCCTTTTCATGATAATAACCTTGGCAGTCAGCCCACAGGCCTACCATATGCCAGCTTCTCTTTAAGCACTGTGCATGTGTTAAATGTCTCCTTGACTGCTTAAATATTTGGAGCCAAAATAAAAACCTATTCTCTCGGAAATTGAATTCAATGGCTCAAATGTGAGGCATATAATCAAATTCTTGCTGAAAATGAAACCTGAAAAATTGATCTTTGTATTTTTATCTTGAAAGCAGCCAGCAACCACACTCTTCCTTCAATTTCTAAGACTATCTTACTTAGAGTGAGAAAAATATTTCGATCTGTTATATCCCCTAAAAAAGACATATTAATTACATGCCTACCTGTGAGACATTCCTACAGTCACGGAACAAGAACTCCAGGCCGTGAGGATGGGTTGGTTCTACAGACTGACTGACATCGATCAACCAGACCTGTTTAAATATAGAGCACCCAGTGATTTCTTTACCTTCGGGAATGTACATCAAGTCATTGAATGTGAACATCAACACGATGTGCTCCTCACCTTCCCGGCATGCCACAGCATGTTATACTCGCTGAGGTCGGCGTGTACGAGCGTACACTCATTATATAGCTTCTGCATCAGCTGTGAGGAGCAAGGCAGACATTTAGGACACGAAGGAACAGCTCTAATTTACCTATACAACCAAAACGTCTACGTCAACCAATATTGTCCAGAAAAAGCAAAACTAGGGTAAAGAACTTACTTCCTGTCTGTACAACCTAGGACTGGGCTTCCTTGTTTTCTTTTTTTAAGGTAGGGTGGGGAAACAGGGAGACAACAGAGAGGATGAATGTGTGCCACTCTACTTCCTTGTCCACGTGACAGCAAGGAGATCAGGGGGCCAAGAGGCAGACCTGGATTCACACATGGGTAAGAGAGCAGCCATGTGTATGGTCACTAACCAGGGGACCCAGGATCACCTTCATAAAAGGGTAAATATCCCACTGAGACCTCTACGGAGTGTATACAATTTCAAGGTAAAAAGTACTTCCTGCTAGACATAGTGGGAAAGAGATACATTCTTACAAATTAAGTGGCATTATATTTTCCTTACTGAAAGTGACTTCTAGTCTTATGGTAGAAATCAGCATTAATGTTTTGTTTCCCAGCCTTAAGAGAAACAAAGAGGAAAAGGACATCACTACTTCCTCTCTTCCCCAGCACCCCCACTGCCAGAAGAAGCCAAGAAAGTGGACTTGATTTTCCTTTGAATATTTTCTACTGGAGGCAAAGAAAGTTGGATTCTCTCCCTAGCTGTATCTTACAAAATCGATTTGGATAACACTTTCATGTTCACATCAACTACTGCATGACATAAGAGCTCCATGCAGAGACTGTGTAAAAAGCATGTGTTTCTCCACTATTCAATTAAAACAATACACAGGAATAACGACAATATTAAGAGCATTTTCTTAAGCTAGAAGGACCTCAGATCGAATTCAGTTGCTGTCCCAAAGCATAAGTAGCTTCCTGACATGCCTTCCAATTCTAACACTTGCCTAGACAGAGAAACCACTCTGTACCATCTTCAGTTTTCACTCTTATAACGAGATCAAGTCTGCTTCCCTCTAATTTCCCAGCAAGAAAGGTATTTCTTTTGCTATTAGAGCTCTAACATTCAAGAGGGCACACAGACCAGTGAGGAACGCTATCTGCTAAATGTGGTACTGTCAAATTTTATTTAGTGAAGTTTTGTGAATAACAGCTTCATGCTTCTGTGTCACTAATGCTAATAACTGAGCATTTACTTGCTCCATAGGTCTTTGATTTTTCCCAAACTCCTCAGCACACCTACATACTGATATAAAGACAACTCCTCAATGTTAACATTCTTCCCAAACTTCAGTTTGTCCTTGTGAACTCACCTTAAAATAGTACTATTTTAGGAAATTTCTTTAAAGGTTACAGGAACTATTTTAACAGTTGGTGTGTGAATGCTTTGCCAGGCACAACTTACATGAAGAGTTTGATGGTAGGCTTCCTTCAGCTCTTCACTACTGAGCTTTACTTCTTTTAATTTAGGGGCTGGAACTTGATCATGGCCAATAAAAGACATAACTAGAATGTGTTTCTTGAGTAGTACAACTGTTGGACAAGGAATTCCAGCTCTCTGCATTCTATACGGAAAGAAATGATTAAGAATGTAAAGAGCAGAAGGAGAGACTCTCTCAGTTATTCGACAAATTTCTAATGAGGGCCTGCGATGTGCTGGCACTATGTTCTGCCCTGCAGATGTGGGAATGCAAGGACAGTAAGACACAGCCTCTGCCCTCTGGAGCCCACGGATTAGTAGAAATGACAGACAAGCAGTGTGGTACATGCACTAGCGGGGGTGGGGGTAAGAGCTATGGGAGCGCGCAGCATCACTCACGGAAGGCTTATTAGAAGTGAGCAAACAGGAATTAGCCGGATTAAGACATTATGGGGAAGTGCTAGTCTAAGGCTGGAAGTGGCTTGTGGAAATGCATGGAGGTGTTTAAGAGCACAGTCCACTGGAGAATGGACAGACACAACACAGCTGGGTCCTGAGGAGGAGGACGGGCAGTGTGGCTTGAGGCCACAGAGACAAGGAGGCTCCATATCACAAAAGGACTTTGAACTTTACACTAAAGACTACAGGAGCTGCTGAAGAATTTAAGAAAGGCAGGGATGAGATGTCAGCAGCACAGAGAAGGAGCACGGCAAGGCCTCTTAGGGGATTATTTTACTTAGAAGTCCTACTAAGCAGAAGAATTTTGCAACTAATAAATATGGATAGTTACATTTAAAAGCAAACATCTTTAGAAAAAACCTAAAAGTAAGCTCTTAATAGATTAAGATCTGGGGAGGTTTATTAATGAGAAAGATCATTACTAAATTACTTCGTTGACAAATTCCTTGATAAATTCTGCATAGAGAATTGAGAAACAAGGCTAATTAATTAAAGTAAAATGCAAATTGACTTGTAAAAGACTCCACCCCCACCAAATTAACCACCATTAGAAGTAGTAAAAATTTTCTGAAACAAAAAAGGAAAATCATTATAATAAGCCTAATTGGAAGCTAAAAAAATAGCATTTAGATACGTGACAGAATGTCTTAGGCAAAAAATGACTTCATTTCCCTCAGACTTTACTGAGGAAAGAAAAAAGAAAACAGCTTATTCATCCTAAAAGTATGAATTCAGGTTATATGCAGAGAAATGTTTTCTAATAGAAAACCAATTTCTATAGATGAATTTAAAAGCAAGCATGGATTTTCTGCCTGGCTAGCGGGCCTGACACAGAAAGGGAAGTACCCAACATTACTTCCAGCACAATGATTTTCTTTACCTTGTGAGATTGTGCATTTCTTTCTCTGCCCACATGCGGATGATCTTACGTGGATTTAGTTTACTGAAGCGATCTTTAAACCTGAAATCATCTTTAATATATTTGTCACGATTCTTAAACTCATTAAGGGTTGTTTTAAATACCTTGATGGCACATTCTGTAGGTATAACTTTACTATCTTCTTTTTCATCCTCCATGCTAAGTGGAAGAAAAAAAAATTAAGTCAGTATAAGCTGCCAGCTCACAAGTCAAACAATTTCAAAATAAAGATTCTATAACACAGAAGTAGATCTACCTTCTCTGAGAATATTGAGCCTTGGGTTTTTTTTTAAGCTTTCAAGTTTTGGGTCTTAATAAAACTTAGGTTTTGGTTTTTTTAATAAAACATACTCTCAAATAAACTGTCAACCATTTTTCAACAATCCATAATATAATCTTCACTTAATGACTATGAAATCAAACTCGAGGCGCAATGAAGACACACATACTTGAAAATAGGCTACGGTCTACCTGGGATGGTTCAGGGGCAAAATTCAATACAACAAACAAAACAGAACAGCTCTTTAAAGATGCGTCTTCCACTCCTAGCAGATATAAGGTGAATAAAGGAGTCTCTGCCCTATGAGCATGCAAGGAGGGACGGGCAGAATAGAAGTACATGAATAGGACAGGTCCCTTTGGATTGGAAAGGTCAGGCAAGGCTTCCCGGCACAGGTGGCATCTGAAACAGAACCAGGACAATGGGTGGGATATGAACAAGTACAGTCACAGTATTAACAAAGCAGAGGAAGGACACCACAGGACATGTCTGAGGACCAACAAACGCTACAGTTAAGACTTGGCCAGAAAGAGGAAATGAAAGCACTTAGAGCTGAAGGGGCGGAATGGAGGCAGATTGTGCAGGGCCCGGACTGCCTGGGTGGGAAGCCTCGATGTACTCCCAAAGGAAAGAGGAATCAGCAAGGGCTTGACACACGTCATGAAGATCAAGTCAACGACAATGTCAGGATGGAAAGGAGCAGGAGAGCCTAGAGGGTGAAGCCCACCTAGGATGCTACTCTAACAGTCTCACCATAGTGAGCCATTGAAAGGGCTTGAATCACAGTGGCAGTGCGAACAAAAAGGAGGAGGATGGAAGGACAGACAACATATTTACTTTTAAATATGTGAAGGGATGTTAATCTGAAAAAGAAAGGAACTATATTTCCAGAGGACAAAAATCTGACTCAAACTCCCAAACTCCTCCTTCCGCACCATATTGTCCCAGCTGACTCCTTCTGAGGTCAGAGTACTCCAACTGGTTCTAAGCCACCCCTTCTCTTCCCAGCTGCCCTCTCTTCCTGGGGAATTTCATTTAGCCCCATGGCTTCAAATGTCATCTAGATACGGGTAACTCCTACATTTCTATCCTCAGTCCTGACTTTCTCCAGAACTTCAGGCCCATTTAGCCGATCCCTACTTGACATCACTTGGATGTCCAGCAAGCATCTCAAACTTAACATGTCCAAAAAAAATTCTTGCTAACCGCACCCTAAATCTGCCCTCGTGCAGGCTCTCGCTCAGCAGATGGCACCGCCCGGCTGCTCGAGCCGGGAAGCTCTCCTCTCACCCCACATCCAATCCAACCACATACACTGTCGACTCTTAGCTTCAAAACACACACCAACGGTCTCTTACTCTTTCCTTTCGCTACCACCTCCTTGGTCCAAAGCACTCATTTAAGTGGCTATAATAACTGATCTTACCGCTTCTTCTCTTGCCCTCGTACAATTCATTTTCCACACAGCAGTCTGAGCGGAAAACAAAATCAAATCACAGCTCTGGTTCCCAGTGCACTTAAGTAAAGAGCAGACTCCTTCCCCTGGCTCACAGAGTCCTACCTGATCTAAGCCCTGCTTACTTCTCCAGCCTCCCCTCTGCCCTTCACACACTATGCTCTAGGTGTACTGGCTTCCTTACAGTCCCTCAACGACACTAAGCTTGGGGGCCAGCCTGGTGGTGTAGTGGTTACGTTCGTGTGCTCTGCTTCAGCGGCCTGGGGTTTGCGGGTTCGGATCCCAGGCACCGACCTACACACCACTCAACAAGCCATGCTGTGACAGGCATCCCATACATAAAACAGAGAAAGATTGGCAGACATGTTACCTCAGCGACAATCTTCCTCCAGCAAAAAGAAGATTGGCACAGATGTTAGCTCAGGGCCAATCTTCCTGAAGCAAAAAGAGGAAGATTGGCAACAGATGTTAGCTCAGGGCCAATCTTCCTCATCCAAAAAAAAAAAGAAGAAAAAAAAGATACCAAGCTTGTACCTGTCTTAAGGCATTAGCACTAGCTGTTCTTTAGTCTAGAATGTTCTGCTATCTGAAATTTATATTGTATCCTAGATGCAGTCATTCAAATCTTAGTTTAAAAGTCACTTCATCAGAGAAGGCTTCCCTGTCCTACTAATAAAAAGTAGTCAACCAGTCACTATGATATCACCCTATTTTAACTACCATAACACATATCTGCTATTTTTTGTTTATGTATTATCATCTTGGAAGGTGTTGGGGTGGGGAAGAAGCACATTCTATGAGAGCAGGGACCTTTCCTTGTACCATTCTCTGCTGTATCCCCAGTATCTGGAAGAGTACCTGGCACTCATTTGTGCTGGCTGCACAAATACTTGGTGAATGGATAAATCAATTTTCAGGGAGACAGAGCAGAGATTCTGTACAAGGAAGAAATTCCCAGTGATTTAAAGATATCACAGCCGTCTTTGGATTTTGAGTTGATAAGCTGCCTGTCACTGGAATAGTTTAACGACAAGCCAGATGAGGCCCTATCAAAAATACCATTGACGAGATTCCCTGCTTGGAAGGGCTCTAGGCTAGAGTCTAATTTATAAGATTCATCTTGTCATTCTCCTACTAAAAAAAAATCTCCTTGTTTCTTAGTAAATTGCACATCCCTCTGCCTAGCTTTTAAGGTCCTCCTTACCAATTTCTGGTTTGCTTACACAGTTTTATATCCTATTACCTCTAAACACATACCTTCTAATCTTCTCGCTGTAAATCTCCTCATTGCCTAAACTTCAACCCTCTCATTTACAGCCCTTTTATTTTTTAAAAAGAATTAAACATTACAGATAAAGCTAAAGTTCCCTTCGATTACCACCCCAGGTAGTTTCACGCCTCGTTCCACCTCTCCAGGGGCAATAACGATCATGAATAGCATCTTTCTAGTTTTTTAAAAAAGATACATACATAAGTACAGACATACATAAGCATCTATTAAAAAAATCCACATACATTATTTTCTGTAAGACTCTAAACATTTAAACAGATTGTATATGTATATATTCTGCAACTAGCTTTTTGCACTCAATACTGGAGTTTTTGGCCTATTTTTGAAGTCCAGATTAAGATCTAACTTCATCACGACCTCTTTCCTGAAAGTGACTGGCAATGATCTTGTCCTGTTCTTAATTCCAATCACACTGCAGTCTCACTTACATAACTGTGTACTGTCTATTATGTAACTATCTTCTGTTGACCAAAACAATTCTTGCTATAATCTTCTCCTCTTGGCTACACTATAAGGTCTTTGAGAGTAGAAAATATGTCTTACACTTTAGTCCCTGAAAAATCTAGCACAAGTTATTATTCAAATAACTGTTGATTACTTGGCCAACCTGGGAGTAATAGAAACCAAAACAGCTTAGTGGAGGGCAGAATCCTAAGATGACCCCTAGGATCCTAGCCCCTGGTGTGCACACCCTGTATAATCCACTGCCTTGAGTGGAGGTGGCATGGCCACTCCCTTGATTAGCTTACATTATATGGCAATGGTGATGGTATAGTCATTCCCAGGATTAAATCCATTGTCTACGACCCAGTCTTAGCAGACTAGAGTGAGGGATTTTCCTGCTGGCTTTGAAGAAGTGCCCTGATGCATCAAAGGGACTGAAAGGGCTACATGACCAGGAACTGCAGTGGCCTCTAGAAGCTGAGGGCAGGCCTCTCCTAACGGCCAACAAGAAAGTGAAGACCTCACCTCACAACAAGAAAGGGTAGGACCTCAGTCCCACAGCTACTGGGAACTGAACTGTGCCAAGAGAAGAGGACCCCAAGCTCCAGAAAGGAACACAGCCCAGCCCAGCCAACAGCCAGACTGCAGCCCTGTGAGACCCTGAGCAGAGAACCCCACTGAGCCGTGCCCACCCGAACTTCTGATCAGCAGAAACTGTGAGACAATAAATGGGTGCTGTTTTAAGCTGCTAAGTCTGTGGTAATTTGTTATGTAGCAGAGAAGACAAACATAAACTTTAAAAGCATTTACTCTCAGTTTAGAACACCAAACGCTCTCTAGTTTCGCTAACTTACAAATGCCAAATTACCATACCAATTCCACCAGAAGGAAAGAGAGATCGTTCATTATGTCAAAGTATCATTAAGTATAACAGAAAATGACCAAGGATAGACAAGGCAAATGACAAGAAAAAGAAATACGAATGGCTACTAAAGCACTTGAAAAAAATGTACAACCTTAATCATAACTAAATAAACGCACACCAAAATATCAAAATGGTACTTTTCATCTTTCACATTGACAAACAATACTAAGTCTGATAATACTATACATTGATGAGGATGAGGGAAACAGGCACACTGCTGGTGGGGGAATAAATCGGTCAACCTTCGCACAGGGCAATCTGGCTCTGTCTACTGACATTTTGACCGTACACAACCTGCAGAGTTGACTAGCTCATAGGGAAAACTGCATTTGCCCTACCACTAAAAGATAAACACAAGTTCGAGATTTCTGGCCTTGGTATGACATACAAGAAAAAAACTTTTATTTAAATTTTTACTAAATCAGGAAACACTGCTTGCTACAATAGCCAGCTTAGAGGCCCAAACAGTGAGCAAAATCTGGTACTTTCCATTCAACAAGGCCTTCCACTATTTAACAAAAAGGGAAAAAAGTGCATATGGTCTTTGCCACAGCAATTTTAACGTTAGGAATTTAGCTTAAGGATATATTTGCAAAAGCACACCAACGTAGATGTACAAGGACATTCCTGTGTATTCACACAATGGAATGGCCTACTATAAAAATGGGGTGGTATAAGCTAGTAATACAGAAAGCCCTAAGATACATTAACTGAAAAACTAAGATCTTGAATGTAGAGTACAATCTATTTTGTATAAACAAAATAAGGGATATATGCATACAAATTTCTGGAATACCAGACTAAAAACTGTTAATAGTGGTTATCTTTGGAGAAAAGATCTGTGGGTCGAGAGTTGGTCAGATGAAGCCTACTTTTCATTTTAATCCTTTCTGTAAAGTTTTAATTTCTACCATGCATAATCTTTCATTTTAAAATAATTTGTGCCATTAAATTATATTTGCCTGCTCATATGAAATCTAGGAAGAGGGCAATGAAGCTTAAAGTAAGGAAGAAAAAATATGTTTATTAAGATTAAAATGATGTAGTAGGTATTATCAAATGTGATTTCATTTATCCCCTTAAAAATCCTATGAGGCGAGGGTCAATTTTCCAATGAGGTTAAATAACTTGCTCTGGAGCACACAGCTTGAAAAAGGTTGAGCTACTTCATCCTAACATTCATTTTTATCCTTTTCATTTTGGAACTTAACAGTATAATCTGATATATGATTATACATGTATGCCTCCTCTAGAAAGGGAGACTAGTTAAATAGTTAAGAAAACCAAAGACAAGGACTTGATCAATGATCATTTGAATCCCCTTAAGTACATAGTAAATACCTTCTAAACCTAAAAAAAAACTAGAATAATTTCTGGAATCTATCTGAACCGTTTCGTTTGTGAACAACGTTAGGGTAAGGAACAGCTGCGGTAGTAAGCCTTGCCGGCTGACTTCAATGGTCAGTAACCAGATGATTTCAGATGCCTGGTTTAAGCACGTTCTCGCAACAGGCTCCACTTTTAAAAATGTTTCTCTTCCTCATGCCATTCTCTACTCACCTAAGCTTTTGTAACAAGGTAAGGTCTAAATAGTATAAGATCTTGCAAAGACGTTTCCTTAAATCATGCAAGCATTATTTAAATCTAGTATTTCTTCAAGTAAGGACCAGATTTATGAGGGGAGGAAGGATACCAAAGGGCCCCACAGTGGAAAGACCATGGGTCTGGAGACAAACCCAGGTTCAAATTTTGCTCTGCCACTTACAGCCGCCTGTGTGATATAGTACAATTCCAGTAATGTAGAAAACAACATATGCATAGAAAAAAGACCAGAAGAATCTACACAAATTAATGGTTATCTCCGGATGGTGGGATTAGCAAGACTGGTTTTCTTTATATGTCCTTGTGTTGTCTAGACTTTCTACAATAAGACTTTTTATTTTTTACTTTATTTTTTTTATTGAGGAAGATTTGCCTTCACCCTGAGCTAACATCTGTGCCAATCTTCCTCTATTTTGTATATGGGTTGCCACCACAGTATGGCTGACAAGTGGTGTATGTAGGTCCATGCCTGGGATCCGAACCTGTGAACCCCTGCCACCAAAGCAGAGCATGCGAACTTAACCACTATGCCGTGGTGCCGGCCACTACAATAACACTTTTTAAACTGCTCTGCTTGCCATGCAGCATTAACTTTGATTTTGTGTAAATCCATTAATATTGCGGAGAAGGGGCTAAGCTTCTGTTGACATGATGATATTGTATTTTGCTCATTTACCTCCCTCCATATGCATGAAAGACAACAGATTCCTTTCCTGTGCTAATACAGCCAGTGATTGTCTCCAACATTCCAGAGTTGACCATTTTATACATAAGTAAACGTGTCTTAGGATCAACTGCTTTTTCCTGCAAAAGATAAAGCGCTATAAGTGAAAATGACTAATAATCACAAAACATTTTCTGAGCTATTTCTAAAATCTAACATTCAAAATATCTACTTTTTTTACCTTTATTACTTAATTTACCTCGATGTATATATAACAGGCTCTTAAAAGAGCGCTATCAAGACACAATTCATCCTCATAACCATAACTCTAATGTCTTTGAAAGTGAATAGCTAAAAGAACCATTAAAAGTCAGACACTAGCTTAGTCAAAATCTTACTTTCTCTCTAAAGTTTAAATAAGTCTCCTAGTGTACTTACCATTTGTTTTTCTAAAGGTTTAAAAATTAGCTTATTCTCAAGATATTAGACACTATCTTCATTAATATAAAATATTAGACTATTAAGTTATAAATTTGTCATAATGTGACAGGAAACAATTTTTTTTAATCTTGGAACATTCACCTGCAATTTATGACCACTAAAATGTTCGTTTTGAGTGATTAATAACCATTACATTAAATTTGAAAAGTCAAATAGCAAAGCTACTTGGGTTTTATTTACATCTTTGATTTGAAAAGCCAATCTCATGAAAAAAACATCAAACAGGAAGTTTTGTTTTGTTTTTTCCCCCAACAAAACAAAACATTTTCTAGTATGTTTAGAAAATGCGACATTTTCTAATATGGACCTTTCCATTAAAGAAGAAACGTAAGATTACTTACTGCAGTAGAATGCTCCTTTTTCTCATGGAGGCGGGCGCTTCGACGCTCTTCTGAGTAGGCATGTCGTTTCAAAGCATTGAAAACATGGTTTGATAGTTTTAAGTCCATTCCAATTCCATCTCCCACCTGAAACCCAGGTGCAAACTGCCAAAAAGAAATAACATCTGAATACTTTAAAATGGGAACAGTAAAAGCTAAGACAAGGAGAAGAGCAGTCTTTACTTGGAACAGGTTTCCTACTCAATAGATGATCAAAAGCAGAACCCAGGAGTATCACAGAAAAAAAATAACTAACTCACTAAGAAAGGCGAGCAAGGCTATTTAGAAACTGCAACCCAAAGCAAAGGGTTTATTCTAGGTACGGAAAACATCCAACCACATCCCAAAGCCAAGGTCTTTCAGCATATGCTTTTTTTCCCTGCTTTTACATAAGACAAAGGACATATTATATTTTGAAGGCTATACCAAATCTTGCCAAAGAAATGCAATTTCATAATTAATTATTTTTGAGGAGCGGATTAGGACAGCAAGCTCTGCTGACCATGAGAATTATGTTCTAGAGCTGCACTGTCCAATATGGTAGCCTCCTGCCACATGTGGATATTTAAAGTTAAATTAATTAAAATAAGATTAAAATTTCAGTTCCTCAATTGCACCACCCAAATTTCAAGTGCTCAATTGTCAAATATGGCTACTGTATTAGAGAGCATAGATATACAACATTTCTATTATCGAAGAAAGTTCTACTGGACAAGGCTGTTCTAAAGTGAGATCTGGACCATTACTAGAATTTAATAATATGTTTACTTAACAAGTATTTGTGTTCTAAAGTCTGTATGTTTTATATTAACCACAATACTTATGAAACAGGAAGAATGCTTTTTTTCTTTTTCTCCTATTTTTTAAAAATTACATTTCTGATTTTGCAGGGGTAGTTTAGGTACAAGATAAAAAATTCAAAAGGATAAAAGGGTATATCGTAGAATGTATTTCTCTCTACCATTGCTATCCCCCAGTCACCTACTGTTATCTGTTTCTTGGGTAGGAGTGCTATTTTATGGAAAATAATATACTGAAAAATAAATATGTTACTTTCAAGAGAACTATCTGTTAATTTTAGAATCAATGTAAATCGAACTAATTTTCTTAATATTGTCGTAGAATTTTATCCTGAGGTACATTATATTCTCATTAGTGGCTGAGTTTTTATGATATTGCTATGTTGTTATCTAAAACATCTTTAGCAAGGACAAAAGGTATTTTTAGAAATTAAATTTCTTAAGATATTCTATTTGATATTGTATTTGGAACCCCAAGTTTTTTCCTTATTCTAATAAAATTCTCGATTCAGAGATAACACCTTCTGTAACTTACATTTTCCATTCTGGCTGTATTCTTTCTTCCACATACTACTTCATCATGTTTGGTGGTGATGTCTTTTCCTTTTCCAATAAAACCCTTTTTGGGAGTAGGAACTGGTTTTGCTAAAGGTGATTAAGACAAGCCACGTATGTAAAAATAGCAAAGACTAAATTGCTGCATTCGATATTGACTGAAAAGATATTTGAATCTAACAGTAAATTACCAAAGGAGATTCAAAGATAAATATAAAATACAAAGATTCAGTGGAAAACTTAGTCTTGCTGTGCCCCATACTACCCCTCCCCTCCCAAATAAAAGCATCAATACCTGGTATGTAGGGATCATCACGAGTATCCTGCCAGTCAACCTCATCTTCAGAGCTATCGCTGTCTTCATAAGGATGTACTTTTCGATAATTTTCAAACGAAATGGAAACTTAAAAAGGCAAAAACCATTGAAGATTTATTTAGGAGCACGTTATAAGCATTTTCTACCACCCAATGGAGTTGTCACAAGAAGGTCATAGTACCTTTGCTATCTCCATTGAATTTTTTTTCTTCACGCCTAAGCTGTGCATCATATTCTCTGTCAAATTCCATCTGTAGCATCTGAGCCAGCATTAGGTCGCTGGAAGTGTCAATGTTTTCTCCAGTAATAAATGGTCCTTCAGCAACACTATTCAAAATAAGGCAATATAAACTAATATAATGTGCTTGTATAAACAGATGCTACCAATTCTAAGAGTAGGATGTGCCTTTTTCACTGTTAAAAATTGTACTCAAGAAACAATGGGAAAATACTTTACCAAACCAGTCACCTGTGCCCAGCTGCCCGCTGACCAAGGGCAGGCACCGGGAGAGCACCAACTAGGATTAAGAGAGCTCCAGGAGAAAGCTACAGGGGCTATGATAAAATCCAAACTGAGACCCAGAATTCATTTGTTCTGCATTCTGATCAAAGGAGAGACAGCACATATATAAAAAGATAAACTACAAACATTCGATCAAAACTATACCCTACGCTTCACTATTTGTTAATTTAGAGACCATCTGGTTCAAGTGTTGGAATAACTAAACCCCAGAGAAACAGAGTGGTTTGCCCAAGATAATACTGAAAAAAATCACAGAATCAGAACCAAAATTCAAATTATCCCAGTATGTGAACTCCCAGTATGGTGCTCTTTCTACCGCTTTTTTAAATGTATTTCTTAATCATGTGTCATGACAATCACTAATCAAATACTAAAACTTTGTTAAAATAAGCAGCTAGGCAAAATAGATTCTTTGTGAACTTTACTTACACAACTTTAGGAAAAGCAGCAGCTTCTTCTTCTGACTGCAGTTCTTTAGCCAACTGTTCACTCATGACATCAGTCAAAGAACAAGATACTGTATTTTGAGGGGTAGCCCACGGACACTATTTAAACAAAAAAAGGGGGCAATTCAATTCATAATAATGAAATTAGCACCTTCCAAACTTGGAAATAAGGTTATCTTTTGAGAATTAAACTAGTTAAATCAACCCAAAATGAATGATTATCTACTTGCAGAAATCACCTTAAAAGTAAAAATATCTCCAAGCTCAAATCTAACCAAGGATAAATGTAAACTAAAACAGCCAAAAGCACTTTCTAGAGGGTTTGGTAGCTGTGTCCTTTAGTTGAGGGGAAGCACCAGGCTATTACAGCATCACTCCAATAGCCAATGGGTCCACGTTAACACTCTCTGTTCCGATTCCATGCCCATATACTTTGGCTCTGTGTGTAGATTCTCTCATGGGAAGAGACTATAGCAACTAGCATAATGCAAAGCCCGCTTAGAAGTTATACTGCATCCTATTTTAAGCACTAAGTCTTTTACATGTAAAATGATGCGTCAGCCCCTCTCAAGACACTTTGGGATATGTTAAAACAAAAATAACAATCACAAATAATAAAAACTATATTTCTCAACTTTAGAAGCTGAGAAACAGTCTTGGAACAGTACCACTACAGCAAAGCAATACTTCGTGAGCCTCTTCCTGGGTGGCCAGCAGTCGGCCTTCCTCAACGACATCACCATCTCAGCCCTCTAGAAATACAAGCTGTAGGTTTATCTCACGAGTCCTAATTTTTGAGGGAGTAAGCTTTACTTAGCAGCAGCAAATGACTACATTTGAAAGCCTAGCAATTAAGACCATTAATATTGAGTATGATGTCTAAACATGTCTGGAACTCGCCCAGCTCTCTAGCCGCCTTCTGAGACTCTGCTCCAAGGTATCACCCTCCCCTCTTCACCCTCCCCTCACGGGGCTACCGGCAGAGCCTCCTCACTTATCTTCCTGCTTCCAGTCCTGCTGCTTCCCATTCTCCACAGGACCACACACAGTGGTTTTTCTAAAATGCAGATTTGATTGGTTGTTTCCTTACTTAGAGCTCTTCTATTGTTTTAATATTTCCCACTTTTCAGATAAAGTCCGAACTAATTCCTTAACTACTACTGAGTGTGTAAGATAGAATATAGCATATGATGATACCCATTTTAGCCACAAAATTGTTTAATCAAATTTAGCCAGTACAGACCCTCTAGCGGCCTAAGGGCCTGTTGGCATGACCCCCAGAGACAACAGGGCTACGGACCCTTGTTCAGGTTTCCTAGCATTGAGGTTCAGGAGTTTACTTGGTTCAGCCTCTTAGGATGGAGCACTCAAGGGTGATGAAAGATAACTACACTTATGCCTAAGCGAATCCGAATCAAGTTTTATCTGGTCTCCTCCTGAGACTGATGAGATGCACCGCCCCCAGCACACACCTATACCAGCCTACTGCAGAAGTGCCCCGGCTTTGCATGAGCCCCACCTGGAGGGCACAAGGAGGCTTCCCAGGTCTACTCAGATCTTAGCAGCAGCTAAGGAGGAGGATTTTGAGCTCTGGAATCTTGAAGCTGTCTGTAATCTGGAGAACATGTCTAATCTTTAGGCCACAAGACCCTGCTAAATCATCTAGGGAGGAGACAATGCTGCCACTTAGCCTAGAAACACTTGGTCTGGTCAGCTTCAAAGTCCAGGTTCCAGGAGGCAAATGGCTGTACGCTCTAACTCAGAACCGTCGATCACATTTGGCAATCACTAACAGTAGGGCAGCAGACAATACTGGAATAGTCACTATATTTGAGTCACTTGGCTGAATATATATAACTTACGTTTATTTAAGCCACACAAAAACTGAGTATTTGCAATATCATCTCCATTTTATAGATTTAGGAACTGAGTCACGGAGAGGTTCTGCAACCCAAGATAACACCGTAGATGGAAGTGCTGAGATTTGAACCAAAGCAGTAGGACTTAAGAGGCTGCACTCAGCATTTTGCTCTAGGCTTCCCTAATCACCTGGTTCTGGAATGTGCGAAGCAAAGCACACCTCTGTGCTGCCTGCAGTATGAAATCCAAATTCCTCAGCGAGAAAGGCCCTTCACAGTGTGCCCTAATTTACCTTTCCAGTCTCAACCCCCACCTACCCTACGCTCTAGCAGCACCAATTACATGCCAGATAGGACGTGCTTCCACCCCTCAGGCCTTCACACCTGCTCTTCTCTCCCAACGGTTTGTCTTCCTTCTCTATTTACCCCAATTAAACGTCACCTCCTCCATAAGGATGTCTCAATTTCTTTTCTTTTTTCTTTTTTTTGAGGAAGATTAGCCCTGAGCTAACTACTGCCAATCCTCCTCTTTTTGCTGAGGAAGACTGGCCCTGAGCTAACATCCATGCTTACCTTCCTCTACTTTATACATGGGATGCCTACCACAACATGGCTTTTGCCAAGCGGTGCCATGTCCACTCCTGGGATCCGAACCAGCGAACACTGGGCAGCCAAGAAGCAGAACGTGTGAACTTAACCGCAGTGCCACCAGGCCGGCCCAGGATGTCTCAATTTCATCAGACAAAATCAGACCCTTTCCTTTGTGCTCCCATACCCTGCGCAAACACGGTCAGTGCAGGACTGTTTACCAGACTCGAGTTCATGCATCAGCCGCAATACAGCATGAGCTGCTTGAAAGGTGGGGTCTTCTCATTCTCTGAGCCCAGCAAAGAGCTTCAGATAGAAAGAGGCACTCAAGTATTTACTGAATAATATGTGCCCAAAGGAAACACTGGAGATAGCTCATGGATCTGCCAGGTTGTCCCCAGCTGCAGAGGTCTGGTGCCTTCCTACACCCCTACTATGCTAAAGTCCTTTTCTTCATCTTGAAGTCAGCCCCTTTGCCCACCCACTGGGGATGCTTCTAGTCTTTTGCCAGCAGTCAATTAAAAATAAAGTATTACATACTGACAACTCCTTGGAAGAGGCAAAAATGACAGGCAGTAACTGTGTTATTTTGAGGCATAGAATTAGCTACTCCCGAGACAGGGTGAATAGGAAAGGGGACCATGTAGAGACCACAGAAAGCCCCGAGACAGCCTAACTGCCTACTCCTACTGACCCTGCTCCTTGGAGCCTTCGACTCGAGAGCTGTTCTGCCCTGGACCTCTGCTGACCAGCTCCGCTGGGCCCCTCACAGCGAGGCAGCTTCCACGGTGAGGGTAAATAAGTAAAGACTTCCAAAAGTTTGCCAACTCCCAGACTCTGAAATCAAATCCACACTCTCCAAACCAGCAGCCAAAAGCCCTCCATAAAATGTTTTGGGCCGTAAGGGACAGCTGCCGGGCAGGGGGCAGTCCTCCAGGACACGGGGGTTCACTACTCCTGAGGGGCTTAGAAAATGTACTGGGGGCTCCACAGGGTATATGTAGGGGAATCTTCTGTCATCATCTTGCAACTCCTCAATAAATCAAACACTGTGAATAGAGAAACTCTGTTAAATGTTAAAATAACAGTAAATCTAACGGCATAGAGGAAAAAAGCCCTCCATAAGCTTGCTCCATCCTAGCTATCAACGTCATTTCCCACCATTCCCTTCATCAACATAAACCCCCCACTGCATCAAGATCTGATGGGAAACCCCGCACAATCCTTTCCAGGTTAGTTACTCTGCCTTAAATGACATCTATCAAGCCCATAACCAGCTCCCTGATTCTTTCTTCCCCGTTTGCTGAAGACCCCCCGAGACCCACCCGATTTTCCTCTCCTCTGGGAAACTGCCACCACGAAACTCTGCTGCTTGGCGTCCTTCACTACCATCACATTCTCCCACACCGGGCTGGCCGCCATCACAAGGAAATCGTCCCCCTTTCCTTCCAGCTCCTAAAGATGCATCCCCAGCGGCCCACCCCACTTTTCTGTTGTTGAGGTTTCACTGCAGACAACGATGGGAAAGAATTAAGTAAAATAAAACAGCAAACATGAAGAAGCACACGATAAAAATTCAGTCCTCAACTTGAAGCAAGTCGAGAGAAGCCTAACCCGAAGGAAGGTCCCTCTTCTACCCACGCAGCTAGAAGATGACCCAGGCAGAATATTTCAGGGGCTAATTTTACTTCTCAACACAAGGGTCTCTGGAAAACACGGTCTGGGTCTACAGAACACTAATCTTTTTTTGTTTTTAACTTTTAATTTTAGAGTAGTTTTAGATTTACAGAAAAATCACAAAGACAGTACAGACAGTTCCCAATACCCCATCCCCAGCTTCCCTTGTATTAGTCTTGTACATTTGTCACAATTAACAAATCAATACATGATTATTAACTAAAGTCCACACTTTCTTCATATTTCCTCAGCTTTTCTGTTCCAGGATCCCAAGGAGGATACCACGTACCATGTAGTCATCATGTCTCCTCAGGCTCCTCTTGTCTGTGAGTTTCCCACTTTCCCTGTCTCTGATGGCCCCAGCAGCTCTGAGGAGCGCCGCTAACCCATCTGCGACAGAGCTACGTGCTTCCTCACCTTTGCCTACAGTTTGTCAACCCTCCCTTCCTGGCATATCCCCTAAAATTCCTTGTCCATTATGGCAGTTTGGCCTTTTATAACTGGCACCCCAGGACCCGGGGGAAGGGATCCCAAGTCCTTTTCAGCAGGATGTCTGTGAGGTCAAAATTACTTTGCTAACAGTACTAAGACATTCTTTGTCTTTCCCAGTCTCAGTCTCTCAAAAGCGTGGGTGGGTTTTCCAGAGTCTCTATCAGATATGATGATGGCCAGATATGATCAGATAGTGCTCTGATGGCCGCTGGAATGTGTGCTTGGGTATTCTGGTGTTTTCCAAAATTTTCTAAGGTAGTAGGTTTAGGACACAAATGTGCATTTTTAGAGATTAACACGGTTTGTTCTCAGTATGTCTACTGTCCTCTTATTACCCATCTTCGATTACACTTGCTCTAATCTACGCGTCTATGAAGATGGAGTTTCAGATTGAAAATGTGTGAACAACAGACTGAAAGAAAAAAAGAGATATGAGAATTCAGCTGACTTCTATTAAGATGCATATTAAAGAGACTCACAAAAACGCAAAACAAGACTGCTCTTCAATAATCTTTTTTGTTTGGGAAATTAGTTTTTAATATAAAAATGTTATTTATATTACATATCACTTTTAAATGACTTCATAAAGATTTTCAGTTTCTCAGTTTTAATTTCTGATAGGACAAATATCAATATAACCAATATAAACAAAAGTTCTTTGGGGTTCTCAATGATTTTTAAAAGTGTAAAGAGGTCCCGACTGAAGAGTTTCGAGAATCACTAGCCTTTACCATTCTTTCCATTTTTCAGGCTCTTCCTCAAATCTCTACCTCCTCCATGTAGGCAGGCCTCTGTAATCAATTCAGTCTTTCAAGAGGTTAGAGAAGGAAAGGATTAAAGAATACCTGCGGCCTCTTTCTAATTGTTTTGCCTGTCAAAATGCTGTCTTCCCAAGAGAACGTCAATAAACCTCAGGATTTTTTTTGTTGAATGATGAGAATGAAATTTTATGGTTCTGATGATATACGCTTAAATAAAAAGATGACTGATATCAAATATTTTATTACTGAATTAGTTTTGTCAGTGAAATTTGTTCTTAGGCTAGGTTGTATTCTGAGCAAGGTTTGTCTCATTTGACATTTTTACAAGCTTTTATGTAGGCTTAACTGGAGGAATTTAACATGGAGATATATATTTATCCTTACCTGTCTACTGATTTTGTCCTTTTATGTCTACTGATCTTGGCCTTATAAATAAGGCCTTAAGAGAAAAAAATACAAAAAGTAACATGTAGATGTAACAACATTTGCCAATGGAATATCTTAGATTCTCCCTACAGTTGTGTGAGAACTTTTATAAAATTAATTTTACTTTTCTTAATTTAGCTAATTATTTCCCCCTTTTCCTGTTAAGACCTGAGTGAAGATCCAGTAAGATTAACGAGTGATCCTTTAAATGGAACAAGTATTCTGTTAGCATACAGAGAAGTCGGTGAAGGTGGACAAAAGGTACAAACTCCCACTTATAAAATAAGTAAGGCCTGGGATGTCATGTACATCGTGGTGACTATAGTTAATAACACTGAACCGTATATTTGAAAGTTCCTGAGATCACAAGAAAAACAACTGTAATCTTGTATGGTGATGAATGTTAGCCAGACTTACTGTGGTGAGCATTTCGCAATATAGACAAATCTCGAATCATTATGTGTACACTTGAAACTAACATGATATATGTCAATTATATCTCAAAAAAGGAACAATTATGAAGCTAAAAAAGTTGGGTTCCTTCACAACCTTAACTGGAGGGACACAAAATCCCAATCGAAGCACTCTTGCTCAATAAAGTGGCAGGAGAGTCTTTTCATCCCTCTAATGAAAGTATTATGAAAAGGAGCGGCCTGAAACCAAATGTGAAATGTGAAATAAACCCTATGGTTGGTCACTATACGCTGAAGCTTAAACGTCAAAGCCCAAGCAGATGAGGATTCATAACCAGTGAACCGCAGGACTATACACTTGAGCATCAGCCTGGGGGCAGGGAAGGTGCGCCTGGACTTATCTTCCAATATTTCAAAAACAAGGAGTTGCCGGACAGGATCGCCACACTTGTCAAGTTAGGGAAACAGCTGCCTAACCACCTTTCTGCTGGGCTTTTTGTGTCTACCTGGGCTGACTCGCCCGTGAAAAACAGAATCAGGCTTGCTTTCCCTCTAACGTCAACGTTTCCAAGCGAGTCCCGCCCAAATATATGCTAGGAGGTGCAGAAAGCAAGGGGCAGAACCAGACAGAGACCCCAGACCGCCCAGGGTGGCCTTAGGCAGCCCAGGCCGCCCCGGCTTCTCCCAGCCCCACCCCGCAACCCCTCCGCCTATCCCCCGTTTCCGAAGTCGCCGGGGTCAGGCCCAGAACTTCCCGAGTCGCCTGCGGAGCCACCTCGGCCCCTGCCACCCTCTCCGGGCCTTCCGAGAGGACCAGCCCAGGGGACCAAGGCAGGTGCGTCAGCCCCGAACGCCACTTACCGCTGCCGGCCCGGGCTCAGGCGATGCGACTCTGACCAGATCCATGTTGCGGAAGAAGCAGCGACGAGAACAGAGCAGAGAGGTGGCAGGACCAGGAAACAGCCTCCGCCGAGGAGATAGGCGGCGGGGCAGAGGCGACAGGCTGCCGGTGCCGGAGCGGAGGTGACAGATGGCGGCGGCGGCCGCGTCCGGAACTAGACCGCTTCTCTTCCGCCCTCTCCTCTGGGACCGGCGCTTCCGATTGGCTGCCCGCCCCCGGCTCCGCGCTGTCACCTTTCCCCGCCCCCGGCCGGCCGCACTTCCGGCCGCATCCCCTGGCCGGGGGCTTGTGGTCGCTGTCGCCCTTGCTGGGCAGGCAGGGGCTGTGTGTGGCTTCCTCTGCCCTGTGCCCGCCCCGGCCGCCCCTTCCTTCCTCCCTGGCTGCTCGAGACAGCAGCTGGATCTAGTTAAGCTGACTTGACAGCGCGGACTATAAATAAACAAGCGAGCGAGGCTGGCTGTTCATTCATTATTTCCCGGGGTAGTTCTCAGCTGGATGGTGTGGGAGGCAGAAAACGGCAGGTTTAGACAGGAGAGGGAGACTGAAGAAGACGGTCGGATTTTATTGTTATTGCACTTGTAGGAGGCGGGGCGTGGAATGAGAAAATTCGTAAAATGTGTTATGTAACATTGAACAAAAATAAGACTGCATAATAAAAATTTTGATTCGGTATTTTGCAGGGAGATTCTCATAAAGGGACTTCATAAAAATAGCTAAGCGTTATATCTCACTTACTAGATCCAGGCACTGTTCAAATTACTGTGTTAACCCTTTAGTCCTCAAAATAACTCTGAGAGGTAAATCTATCACTATCTCAATTTTACTGATAATGAAACCGAGGCAGAGAGGCAAAATAACCTGCTCGAGGTCATACAGCTAATGAGTGATGTGAAAATTAATGAAGGGAAACTTCATTTAAAATGGAGACGGGAGGCCAGAAGGGGGAGCTCCCACGCAGTACCGCTCAAGAGGTCAATTTCAGGAAGGATAGTCAATTACACACCCTAACAGGTAGAGTCATCCACAGGAGAGAATCCTTTATTACAGGAAGAAAGATAAAAATTCATAGAATGCTCTGACTGTAAAGGATAAATGGGAGGAGAATAATTTTTAATAAAAAGTATGTATTTGATTCCACTTATATGAGGTATCTAAAGTAGTAGTCAAACTCTTAGAAACAGAGTAGAATGGTGGTTGCCAGGGGCTGGGGGGAGCAGGAAAAAGAGGAATTGTTCAATGCGCATCGAGTTGCGGTTTAGCAAGACACAAAGTTCTAGAGATCTCTTGTATAACAAGGTGCATGTAGTTATTACGGTACTGTACACTTTAAAATGGTTAATATGGTAAATTACATGTCTTTTTATACAATAAAAATGTGAATTTGTGTATGTAAATATGTCTGAGTGGATTTCTGTTGGTCTAGTTTGCTTGGGATTCATTGTCTCTCCTGTATATGGGGATTCATTTCTTACACTAGTTCTGGGGAACCAAATGCCTCTCTCACATTCTCTGTACTCTCTTCCTATGGAACTTATATTAAATATGTTAGATCTTCTCATTCTGGCTTGCATGACTCTTCACCACTTTTTCATATTTTCCATATCTTTGTTTCTTTGTGCTGTGTGCTTTTTATTGAAGTAAAACATACAGACAAAAAAATACAACGTAATAGTTGTATAGTTACATGAATATTGCAAACTGAATACATCATGGAACCAGCACACACATCAGGAAACAAAATATCACCAGCACTCCAGGTGTGTTTTTCACGCTCCCTTCCAGTCAGAGCCATCCTCAAAGATAATCATTATCCTCTTTCCTTTAGTTTTGAGGTAGATAGTGTCCATGGGGTGTGGTTTTGCTAGGGGCTCTGTCTTTTTTTTGATAAAAGTTGTATTGAGATATAATTCATATATAATTTGTCCATTTAAAGTATACATTTGATGACTTTTAGTATAGTCACTAAGTTGTGCAGCCATTAACACAATTTTAGAACATTTTTTATCACACCATAAAGAAACCTCATGCCCGTTAATACTCTCCACTGCCCCCAGCCCCAGGCAACCACAATTCTGTTTTGTCTGTATAGATTTGCCTATTCTGGATATTTCATATAAACAGAATCATACAACACTTTGTCTTTTGTGACTGGCTTCTTTCACTTAGCATTTGAGTTAATTTTTGTATACGGTATGAGGTAGGGGTTTGCCTTCATTCTTCTTCTTTTTGGTGAGGAAGATTGGCCCTGAGCTGAGATCTGTCACCAATATTCTTCTTTTTGCTTGAGGAAGACTGTTGCTGAGCTAACATCTATGCCAATCTTCCCCTATTTTGTATGTGGGACGCCATCTCAGGATGGCTTGATGAGCAGTGCATATGTCCATGGCCAGGATCCGAACCTGCGAACCCTGGGCCACTGAAGCAGAACTAGTGAACTTAACCACTATGTCACCAGGCCGGGCCCTACCTTCATTCTTTTGCATGTGGACATCCAATTGTCCCAGCACCATTTATTGAAAAGTCCTGTTCTTTGCTCATTGGATTGTCTCGGCGCCCTTGTCAAAAATCAATTGGTTGTAAATGTGAAGCTTTGCTTCTGGATCTCAATTCCATTCTGTTGATCTGTATTTGTGCCCTTATGTCAGTACCACATTGTCTCGACTACTGTAGCTTTGTAGTAATCTTTGAAATCAGGAACTGTGAGTCCTTTAACTTTGTTCTTCTTTTTCCAGATTGGTTTGGCTCTTATGGGTCCCTTGAATTTCCATATGCATTTTAGGATCAGCTTGCTAATTTCTGCAGAGAAAGCTGCTGGAATTTTAATGAGGTTTTATGTTGAATTTGTAGATCAAATTGTAGAATATTGCCATCTTAACACATTAAGTCTTCCAATCCATGAGCATGGGATGTCTTTCCATTTATAGGTATCCCTTACTTTATTGTATGTCACTTTATTGCGCTTTGCAGATACTGTGTTTTTTACAAGACCCTCCACCAGCAAAAAGATTACAACTCACTGAAGGCTTGGATGATGGTTAGCACTTTTTAGCAGTAAAGTGTTTTTAAATTAAGATGTGTACATTGTGTTTTTAGACATAATACTATTGTACACTGAATAGCCTATTGTATAGTGTAAACATAACTTTTATATGCACTGGGAAACCAAAATATTCATGTAACTCACTTTATTTCGATATTTCGATATTCACTTTTTTGCAGTGCTCTGGAACTGAATCCACAATATCTCTGAGTCATGCCTGTATTTTGGTCTTCTTCAATAATTTTTTTTCACTTTTCAAGGTATAAATTTTGCATTTATTTACCTACATTTATTCCCAAGTATTTTATTCTTTTTGATGTTATCTTAAATGAAATTGTTTCCTTAATTTCACTTTCAGAATGTTCATTGCAAGTGTGCAGAAATACAATTGACTTTTGTGTATTGATCTTATATTTTGCAACATTGTTGAACTCATGTATTAGTTCTAACAGTAGTTCTTTATTTTATTTCATTTTTTGAGGAAGATTAGCCCTGAGCTAACGTCTGCCACCAATCCTCCTCTTTTTGCTGAGGAAGACGGGCCCTGAGCTAACATCTGTGCCATCTTCCTCTACCACAGCATGGCTTGCCAAGTGGTGCCATGTCTGCACTGGGGATCCGAACCAGTGAACCCTGGGCCACGGAAGCAGAACGTGCACACTTAACCACTGTACCACCAGGCCGGCCCCCTAACAGTATTTCTTTTTTTTTTTTTTTCAAAGATTTTATTTTATTTTTTTTTCCTTTTTCTCCCCAAAGCCCCCCGGTACATAGTTGTATATTCTTTGTTGTGGGTCCTTCTAGTTGTGGCATGTGAGATGCTGCCTCAGCTTGGTTTTTTTGTTTTTTGTTTTTTTTGAGGAAGATTAGCCCTCAGCTAACTACTGCCAATCCTCCTCTTTTTGCTGAGGAAGCCTGGCTCTGAGCTAACATCCGTGCCCATCTTCCTCTAGTTTATACGTGGGACGCCTACCACAGCATGGCTGCCAAGCAGTGCCATGTCCGCACCCGGGATCCGAACCAGCGAACCCTGGGCCGCCGAGAACAGGAACGTGCGAACTTAACCGCTGCGCCACCGGGGCGGCCCGTGCCTCAGCTTGGTTTGATTAGCAGTGCCATGTCCGTGCCCAGGATTCGAACCAACGAAACACTGGGCCGCCTGCAGCGGAGCGCACGAACTTAACCACTCGGCCACGGGGCCAGCCCCCTAACAGTATTTCTTTAGCGGATTCTTTAGGATTTTCTATATTTAAAATCTTGTCACCTGTAACAGAGGTAGTTTTACTTCTTTTGCAACAGATGTTGCCTTTATTTTCTTGCCTTATAGTCCTGGTTAGAACCTCCAATACAATATTAAATAGAAGTGGCAAGAAAGGTCATTCTTGTCTTCTTCCTGATCTTAGGGAGGAAAGCATTGTCTTTCATCATTATGATGCTAGCTGTGGGGTTTTTATAGATGCTTTTTATCATATTGAGGAAGTTCCTTTCTATTCCTAGTTTTTAAAATGTTTTTATCATACAGGGATGTTGAATTTTGTCAAATGCCTTATCTGTTTCCATTGAGATGATAATGTGGTTTTTGTCCTTTATTCTATTGATATGGTTTATTACATTAATTGATTTTTGGATGTTAAACCAACCTTGCATTTTTGGGATAGATCCCACTTGGTCCTAGTGTATACTCCTTTTTTATGTTCTTGGATTCCATTTGCTAGAATTTTGTTGATGATTTTTGCAGCTGTATTCATAAGAGATATTGATATTTTGTCTGTTTTTTAAGGGGACTTAGGGAGTTTCAAAAAGTATACTGTTGCCTCTGTGATCCTTTAAGAATTCTCCATGTGTGCTGCCAAAAAACCCCCCATTATTAAAAAGGCTTTGTGAGGGGACAACCCCACAGGTATTGTTTTATCCAAGCTTCTCTCTTTTTTTAATTCAATAAACATTTATTGAGCACTTATGGATCCATTATCAACAAATAAATTATAACTATGATCTTTTGGTCTGAAAGATCTCAATTCAGTCTCATATTGTTTCTCAATGTAAGAGCTGATGGCTTTATTTTTATTCAGTCTTTGTTTTGTGGAACAGAATAATGCAGCTTTGGAAAAATCAATAGTCCTGGCAAGCTCTATCATCATTTTGCTACAAACGTCAACTTCTATTTGCACGGTTCTTTACTGTTCTGGTTGTTCCTGTTTGTCAAGCAAATTCTGTCAAAGAAAATAAGTTAAGCAATAACTAGGAAATAATAAGGCCTGGATTGAATTTGTTCACCTACTAAAAGCGCTCAGGGAAACCTCAGGTAAATACCAATTATTGATTTCAAGCAAATTTTACTGGGCAAAAATGTCTTTGTAAGGACTATGTAGCTTTGAAATAGGTTTCCTAAAATAATGTCGAGGGAAATAACTTTTTAGTTTATTTGTCTTTTATGTCGAGAGAATACATCCAGTGTTTGCTTTGATAACATGTTTGCTAAGCAGTTTTGTGTAGGGTATACAAATCAAAGACAGTGGAGGTTTCGCGGTGTGTGGGTCTGTCTAAAAATCTGTGTATTTCTACGTATCAGGGACACTTGCACCTATGGTTCCTGCAAAATCCATCAGTATGTTTTTGTGTATGTTTACTACTATTTGCCAGAAGCCTAACTAGACTGATTTTCCACCCTGGAGCCTAGGAATAGGGGCTGTGCTTGAAATTTTATTTTTGGAAAGATTTCTCAGAAATTTTAACACAATGGAATGATTTCTCTTAAGGAAAGAACAAAAACTATACTTATTCTACTTCCTTCCCCCTCAGCCTTCCTTCTTTTAAAATAACATTTGCTGTTATTCGCTTTTTTGTGTCATTTGCAAAAATAATACAGACTCAGTGTAGAAAATTGGGAATATTCAGTGAAGCATCGGCAACACTTTGGTCCCACCATTTAGGGATAACTATGAACATTTTTCTTTAAACGGTTGGTTATGGGGTATTGCGAACTGTTTTGTCAACTGCTTTTTTCTTCTCTCCTACCAGTGTCTACTCTCCCACAACGACTACTCCCCGCTCTTTCTCTACAGGCGGTCGCAGCCCGGCCCAGCTTTCTGTCTGCCCCGCAGCCCTTCTGCCGGCTGGGTGCTGTCCCGCCCACCGCACGGCTGCCGGGCCTGCGGCGGCGCGGCCCCTTTAAGGGAAGGCGGCAGGGAGGTCCCCGCGCCGATTGGCAGAGCGCAGAGCCACGTGGCCGGCCTGGCAGCGGCGCCCGCGCTCGGGCGGCGGCCGTGGGGCTCCGGGCGGGTCCCCGGGCAGGGGCGCCAGTTGACAGATGTGCATGAGAAGGTGCCTGGTCGGCCTCACCTTTTGTACCTGCTACCTGGCTTCTTACCTTACGAACAAGGTGAGGGGGCGGGCGCGGGGAGGCGAGGATGGCACGTGGGAGATTCGTGTCCCATAATCATACGTGGAGCAAATGCAGCCCTCAGCTTTTTGTCTGATCTTTTCTTGATGGTGATGGAGACGAAGCCGACTCTGCGTGGGATGCCCTTTTAGAAATAGGATTTGTTGGGCTGTACTGTCCCCGTTTTCCGTCGTGTAAAGCATCCTATGTATCTCCTGGGAAACTGGGTTTTTGGACTGGCGAATTCCCTGGAACTTAATTTTGGGCTGTGTGGACGACTTTTAAGGGAAAGAAAGCACTTGGTTCCTGTTCTCTCGGGGAGGGAAGAGTAGGAGAAGAAATTAGACAAATTCTGCCTTCTTTTCTAAAGCACGCCCTTCCCCAGAATCCCACCAGGTTCCAGAAGCCTGTAAAAAGAAGAGATCAGTCCATCTCCGTCTCCCTCTCACACCACTGATTCCCAAACCTGTTTTGTATATATCTCCATCCCAGGCGCTTCCAGTATATTCAAGAGCTTTTCATGGAATTATTTTAAAAAGTAAAATATAAACTTAATTTTGGTTGATGTCATGAAGCTGTTTTTATGAAGTGGCAGAAGAGCAGTGGTACCGTGCCTTTGTTTTGTTGGAGGGGGAAGCTGGCCTGAGATTTGGTGCCATACAGGGAAATGGTGGACCTGGTGGACTAGGGTGGGGCATCACCTCCTGTCCTGGACTCTGGGCTGGACATCAAGCCAAAGTAGTGATACTGAGCCCAGGACCACCTTCTCTGCAACTGTAGGGTCTGCACTGCCCCCCCCCCCCCCCCCCCAGGATGCTCCCAGACCCCGCTTCCCCCTGTCCCGTTGGTTTTCAGTTATGGTGATGGCCTTTGAAGATCCATCAGTACAGCCTTTTGGGAGGCAGTGATGGGTTTGCATCCTGACTCCATTTACTTTGTCTTTGGGACTTTAATTTCTCTAAACTTAAGTTTTTAAACTTTAAGATGAGATTAAAAAGTCCTCCTCAAAAGCTGTTGTGAGGGTTACTCAAGATGATGTTTGTAGGGTGGTTGGCTGAGTGCCAACATCGTGGTAAATGCTCCCTAAGGTGAGTAGTTGCTACTCTAGAAGGAAGAAAGGGAGGAAGGAAGGAAAGACAATCTTTTGCTTATGGTATGACATAGTAATTCTTGGCTTTTAACAGGTTTGTTTTTTCCTCGTGGATCAGGTAGCTAAAAGATTTTTTGTAACACCCACTCAGGAATATGTGAATTTGTGAAATCCTGGCCATTTTGTTTAACTATTCTAATTTGTGTAGCTAACCTGATGGATATATTGATAATGTTTCACTTTAAAACAGAATGACCTTCCTTTTATTTCTATATAATCATCAGAAGGGGCATAGTAACACGTCTTTCATGAAAACCCATAGGCCGTGGCATTGGTTAAAAAAAAACACAAGTATCTAAGCAAAAAATCCAACAGGCGGATAGCGTTTAGTTCACAGGAATTTATATCCCCTCTGGATGCACGTTTGCATTTGTGGCATTATTTTTATTTTTTAAAAAAATTTTACTTTTCCTTTTTCTCCCCAAAGCCCCAGGTACATAGTTGTATATTTCTAGTTGTGAGTCCTTCTAGTTGTGGCATGTGGGATGCCGCCTCAGCATGGCCTGATGAGCAGTGCCATGTTTGCGTCCAGGATCCGAACCAGCAAAACCCTGGGCCACCAAAGCAGAGCGCTCGAACTTAACCGTTCGGTCACGGGGCTGGCCCCTGTGGCATTATTTTTGTATTTACTGGGGCACCACACCATTTTATAATCAATGTAATAAAGACCTTACATGTGCATCTTGCTTCAAGATGCTAGACAAAAATAAACCAAATTGTCTTGTCCCCTGGAATATCTAACCTGAATAATAGAAATCAGAGATTCCCAAAGGCCCTCAGAATTTAAACAATAAGCCAATGGTATCCTTCTGCGTTTTCCATGATGGTTTGGAGTGCTCTGGTTCAGGGCTGTAGGGAACTGTCAGGACCACATGGAGTGTTGGAGGATAACAGCCAAAGGCAGAAGAGAAGGCGAGGCTAGGAGATTGTATAAAGGGAAAGGGGGAGGTGAAATCAAGAGTGGCGGAGAGGAGATGTGAGGCCCAGGTAGGGGTGGCAGAGGTGGTCATACATAACAGGACTCTGGCAGGGACTTTGTAACTCTTAGATTATGCCATTGCTTCAACCAGGACCATCTTCTCAATCAGGACAGTCGCACTGCCTTCTGACATCCATCCAAATGGAGGAGTTGTGCTGTGGGTACCCTTGAGCATCTTGTCCTGCATCTAGTCTGTGCCAGATGAATTCTCTTTTCAATTAGTGAAGGTTTTTTTGTGTCTGAAGTAGAGGGTGCTCTTTTCCAGCTTTTAGAAGATTCTATGCTAGTTTCTTTATTTTCATATTTCTCAGTGTAGTTTACTCCTTGAACTGTTTCCCTCTCTATTTGTAGAAAGAAATTCTTTTTAAAAAAATCTTGGGGCCAGCCTGGTGGCATAGTGGTTAAGTTTCTGTACTCCACTTTGGCAGCCTGAGGTTTGTGGGATTGGATCCTGGGCGTGGACCTGTGTATCACTCATCAAGCCATGCTGCGGCACTGTCCCACATGCAAAATAAAGGAAGATTGGCACAGATGTTAGCTCTGGGACAGTATTCCTCAAGCAAAAAGAGGAGGATTGGCAACAGATGTTAGCTCAGGGCCAATCTTCCTCACCAAAAAAATAAAAATAAATAAATAAATCTTGTACATCTTAGTCTCACCCCTTCTACAGTTTAATAGAATGGTTGATTTTTGTTTGACATTTGTGCGACACATGTTGTGGCTTTGCTGGCCCAGCTGACCCAGCCTAGATGGCATGTTCCTACATCTAGTGGGAGGTTCCAGCCATAACCAGGCCCAGGGCCCAGGCAGCCACCTGTCCTTACTCTCCCAGCTGTTAAACCTTCAGCCTGGAGACAAAGTCTACATCTGTTCTCCTTTTAAAGGCTCCCAAATTGTTCTTTCCTTTTCCTTGAGGATTGCCCACTGCTGTTGCTCCAAATAGCGTTTTGCTCTGAGCCATACTTTTCAGTGACATGAGGAATTGCTGGAAGGAGAAGTGTTCAGGTTCCGTTTGTCAGAGATTTTGTTTTTCACTCTTCTTTAGCCTCATGAGGCGAGAGCTGCAGCATGTTCTGTCTCATCCGGTATCTAGGACAAAGCTCAGCACACCATAAACTAACTTAAATATTTGTTATCTTCATAAAGATTGTTAAGGGTGATGTAAGACGTGGCCCAGATGCTCACTTAGGCCTTTCTCTGTCTCTGTTTTAGAACGAAAATATCAGAGAAAAGTGGGGAGGAGCATATTGAATTATGTGAATAAATAGACTTCAGAGGAGAATGAAGGTCCATTTCTAATAAATATGGACCGGAGCACAGGCAGTTAGCCATAGCTGTGGCATTTAGGAGCTCACACAAGGGGAGTTATGTGTAGGCTAATCCATGGGGCAAAATATAGATATGTAAACTTGCCCAACACCGGTCCACTCCATTTTTTAAATCATGTGAGGAATCAGTGATCTAAAACAACTATTTAATGGTTTTAGGCTTTTAAAAAATTCTTAAAGTGTTTGGTAGTAGAAAAAAATAGAAAAAGGTACTCAGAAGGACAAAATCTAATTCCCCCATTCATAAAGTGCTGTAAATTTGCTTGGAAGACATAACAGAAATACAAGTTGACCTTAGCTAGTTGGCTTAAAAAAAAATCCTTCAAATGCTAAAGCACAGAAAAAAGTCTAAGACTCCTAAGCAGAATTAGTTAGAAAAAAAAATCCCTAGAGTGCAAAAACCAAACAAAACCCTAAAGATGGAAGGAAAACAAAAGAAAGAAGGACTAGGACGTAGTTCTTCCTCCAAGAGAAGGGGGTTGGATTTTTAGGCGGACTGAGTGCGAGACAAAGTGGAGGCCCTGAGGAAGCCGGCTGCGCCCATGGGCGTTTTCTCTGGAGTTGCTGCAGTTACAACGTAACATTTCTGGGGTCTGGGGAGGTCGGGCACACGGCTGCTGTGCGTCCTACTTTGGTGGTGGCGCCAGCTCCGTTCCCCAACCAAGAGACGGTCAGGCTTCCAGTGCTGCTGGGGGAAGCAGGCCCACTCTCTTTGTCTGACTTGGAAGGTCACTTTTTTGTTCGCCCAGTGTGTGAATTTGGTTCGGGGCTAAAGGAATCGAGTGTACTTACGTTTCTTTACTAGAGATTTCTTTGATTCTATGGTCTATCAATTCTCTGTAATTTGAAAATGTCCATTAATCTGGTATTTGTTTTTCAGTATGTCCTGTCTGTTTTGAAATTTACCTACCCTACGTTGTTCCAAGGGTGAGTATCTTTTATGCTCTTTATACACGTTTGCAGGAAATGTCCGATCAGCATCATTAAATGTTCTTTAAAATATCTTTAACGCCTGAGTAGATTTTTAATCAAATAGACATACTGCAATTTATTTAGCCATTCTATTAATGGGCATTTAAATTTTGTCCCATTTTTGGGATATAAGCACAACAATGTTATCAGACATTTTTTGTATTCAAATCTGCCAAATTTCCAACTATTTCTTTGGAATAGATTCCTACATAAGAAGTTTGGGTTAAAGAATATGAACTTCTTTAGTGTTCTTGAATATTAACGAATTCTTTTCCAGAAATATTTTACCAATTTACGTTGTCAACCAGCCTGTATATGAAAGTTTCTGTAATATTTGGTTCCAACTATGACTGCTGTTTTTTCCCTCTCTCTGCTGATTTCATGAGGCAAAAATGGTGTCACATTGTTTTTCATATCATTTCTTAGATTATTCATGAAGTTGGACAGTTTACTTATGTTTATTATCCACTTTTAACTCTTTTTTCAGTGAATTGTCTATTCGTGCCTTTTTACCCTTTTATTTTTACTGAGGTTTTAGTATATTTCTTATTAATTTAATGAATTCTTCATATTTTAAGGATACCAGCCACTTGTCCATCATGTTTATTGGAATTCCTTTTTTTTTTGCAATTTGTTTGTACTTTGCCTTCATTTTGTTTCTAATTATTTGTGTATGTTTATATAAATGTTTATAATTATTTTGATTATGTAAATGTTGTTTTTAAGTGACATCATAGAGAATTTGTTGTTTGAACATCGGAATGAAGCAGTAGAGAGAATCACATGTGAATCCACTGTGTGGTCTCATGACTGAGCGATGCTATCATTAGAAAGAAAATAGAAGGAAAAATGGTGCAGGGCTGGCCAGCGGTCCAGGTGTTGTAGAAGCCGGCTGGGTGCTTGGTGCTTACAGTTCCCTTTTTCACTTCCCTCTCCCCTCAGCTTTTTTTTTTAATGTTTTCTTTTTATGTGGACAAATATATTGATTGTTTTGTTTGTGATTGCTACCATTGCTTTTTTTTTGTAGATTTTTAAAAATTTTTTCCTTTTTCTCCCAAAGCCCCCCAGTACATAGTTGTGTATTTTTAGTTGTGGGTCCTTCTAGTTGTGGCATGTGGGACGCCGCCTCAGTGTGGCCTGACGAGCGGTGCCATGTCTGCACCCAGGATTCGAACTGATGAAACCCTGGGCCACCGCAGCAGAGTGCGCGAACTTAAGCGCTCGGCCATGGGGCCGGCCCTCTACCATTGCTCTTATGTTTATTCCTCTCCATCACAAGATCATGTAGATATTCACCTATATTTCATTAAAGCTTTATTCAATTCTTAATCATTGTCTCTTCATTTCAGTATGTGATGCAATGTGAAGAAAGCCCTCCCCTAATAGGTTCATTTACACTGCCCCTATTTATTATATTTTATCCTGTAATCCTTCTGTTTGCCTTTGGGTTGTTGATATCATATGTAAAGTTACTTTTCTAGGATCTATTTTTGAGTACTTATTTGTCAATTTTTGTGGAAAGGGGCTAGTGCTAAATTGTTTTAGTTATTACAGCATTTAAATATGTGGTAGAGCTCATCATGCCAGCTCTGGTGATCTAGTGGATAAGATTTGGTGCTCTTATTGTCACAGCCAGGGTTCCTTTCCTGGTCAGGAAACCATACTACCTGTCTGTTGGTTGTCATACTGTGGTGGCTGCATGTTGCTGTGATGCTGAAAGCTATGCCACTGAGATTTCAAATACCAGCAGGGTCATCCATGGTGGACAGGTTCAGCAGAGATTCCAGACTAAGAGAGACTAGGAAGAAGGACCTGGCCACCTGCTTCTGAAAAAATTGGCCACGAAAACCCTATGAAGAGCCAACCCTGATGGCCTAGTGGTTAAAGATAGGCACGCTCCGCTTTGGCGGCCTGGGTTCGGTTCCTGGGTACAGAACCACACCCCTCATCTGTCAGTAGCCATGCCGTGGTGGTGGCTCACGTAGAAGAACTAGAAGGACTTACAACTATGCACAACTATTTACTGGGGCTTTGGGGAGGGTAAAAAAAAAAACCCTATGAATAGCAATGGGACGTTGTCTGATATACGCTGAAGGGTGAGAGGATGGTGCAAAAAGCCTGGGACGGGTTTCCCCTCTGCTGTCCACAGGGTTGTAAGGAGTCAGAAGCCACTTGAGGGCACTAACAAGAAAGAGCTCATCATCCTTCATTCTTCCTTTTTTTTTATATTATGCAAATGCAAAGAGAAAAGCAGGGATTGTGATCTTAATGTCAGATAAGGTTGAATTCAGGACAAAGAGCATTAAACAAGTGAGTAAAGATGTGTTATAATGCTAGAGCCTGCAGTTCAAAATGAAAATAAAATAGTGATGAATCTCTATACCCACCAAACAATAGGGCAACGTCATTTGTCAAACAAAAACTGTAGGACTACCAGGGATAAATAAGAATGTACTAGTAATAGGAGTCAAATTTACTACTATTTTCCCATGACAGTTCAGTTGGATGAAAAACCAGTGTCGGGGCTGGCCCTGTGGCTGAGTGGTTAAGTTCACGCACTCTGCTTCGGCAGCTTGGGATTTCACCGGTTCTGATGCTGGGCGCGGACATGGCACTGCTCATCAAGCCATGCTGAGGCGGCATCCCACATGCCACAACTAGAAGGACTCACAACTAAAAACATAAACTATGTACTGGGAGGCTTTGGGGAGAAAAAGGAAAAATAAAATTTTTAAAAAAACCCCAAACAACAAACAACAACGACAAAAAACCAGTGTGTGCATATATATGTTATATAGTATATATGTATGCTAAATAATGCAATTAATAAATATCAAACACTGTATATAGAAAATAGGGATTATGCCCTCTTTTCAAATGCCCATGGAATATTCACCAGGATTCAAACAGCAGTAATTTCCCAAAAGTAGCAATTATACAGTGCTAGTGCACTAAAACTAGATCTTAATATCGAAGACAAAAATCTCTATCTACAAATGGCTCTTGAACATATAAAAAGATATTCTTCACTTATAAGAAGAATATAACTGAAAAATACATTGAGATATTATACTTTACCTATAAGATTTACAAAATCATTGATTATGGGATGGCAAATGGGTACAGCTCTGTGAGCGGCACTTTGGCGGATATAACAGCATTGCACTGGTGTGAATCCTTCAATCCAGCAATTCCACTTCCAGGAATTTACCCGAGAGGTTTACTTGCGTTTCTGTAAATGAAATATGTACAAAGATAGACGTGAAAAATATTGCAGCTCCATTTGTGACAGCAAGCATTTTTATTTTTTATTTTATTTTTTTTTAAAGATTTTATTTTTTTCCTTTGTCTCCCCAAAGCCCCCTAGTACATAGTTGTATATTCTTCATTGTGGGTCCTTCTAGTTGTGGCATGTGGGATGCTGCCTCAGCATGGTCTGATGAGCAGTGCCGTGTCCGCGCCCAGGCTTCAAACCAAAGAAACACTGGGCCACCTGCAGCTGAGTGCGCGAACTTAACCACTCGGCCAGGCAAGCATTTTTAAACAATCTAATTTTCATCTATCCAGAACCAGTTAAATATATTATATTGTATCGCTAGTGGAATGCTGTTCTCATGTTAAACGATACAAGGAAACTTTCGTGTATTGACATGGAAAGGTCGTCAAGATGCATTGAATGGGGAAGAAAGCAAGTCCTTGACAGTGTAGTACACTCCCATCATGTGGAATTGTGTGGCTATGTTTTCCTTATTTAAAAAAAGATAAAGAAGAAACTAGTAAGAGTGGTTACCTATAGGAAAAGATGGGAACAGTGCAGATAGTGGACAGGAAAGAGAAGGAGACTTTTCACCACTTGCTTTTTTATACTTTTGGATTTTTGTTCTTTATGTTATTACCAATATGTTATTTCAGGTGAACTCTAGAATTACTTTGTCAAATTTCTCCCCAATGTTTCATAGCAAAACTTTAAAAATACTGTCTATGACTATGTATAGTTCGGTCACTGAAGCTGGGATATTGTTTTCTCGTTAGTGACTGGGAATCATTTTCTGGTCTGATTATCCTTTCACTTCTCTCCAGGCAGAAGGATTTAGGGAACTTACATGGGAAGGGATGATGTTTTCACCTGAATTGCATTTTCCCCTCATCTCTGTAGATCGATCAAGTTGAGTGTACCTCCCGCAATAGAATGTAAGGTCTACAAATGCAAGAATTTTTTTAAAAATCCATTTTTGTCACCAGAATATCCCCAGTGTCTAGAACAATGCTTGGCACATAGGAGGTGCATAGTAGGGCAGCGTAACTCATTCTACAATATTTATTGGGTGCAAACTATGTGACAGTCACTGTTCTAGGCAGTTGGGATACATCAGTGAAGAAAACAAAGATCCCGCCCTGCCGAAGCTGGCTTTTCTCTGCTGCCTGTCCCTTAAGTTTATCTGCAGTGACCGGTACCCTCTGTCCAGTTGCTCAGCTCAGAAACCTGGGTTGTTCTTGATTCCTTTGTCTCCTTCCTCCCTGATGTCTAATTAACAACCAGGACCTCTGGTCCACCTTCTTCATTGGAACTGCCCCTTCCCCAGGCCACTGTCATCTCTCAAATTACTCTATCAACTCTTGACTTGCTTCCTGGCCTCTGGTCTCGCTTCTCTGGAAAGCATTCTGTCCCTCATAAAGAGAGGGAGCTTTCCCAAATGTAAATGTGACAGCATCGCTCGTGTGCTTCAAACCCTTCAGTGAAGCTCCAGCTCCTTAATATGGTTGACGTGGCCTTTCATGACCAGCCCCATCTCTCCAGTGTCAGCTCTGGCCACACTCACTTCGAATGCTCAAATGCTAAGGTCCAGGCCAATCGAACCTCTCTGAGAAGCTTTGAATGAGCCATGATCCTGCTCACCTCTGGACCTTTGTCCATTTTGGGCCTCCTGCTTTGAACACGCTTCAGGTTTTTGCTC